TTTAGCAATTTCTTACAAAATCAAATATATATTCACAAAACCTAGTAATCCTATTTACAATTACTGAAATAATTCTCAGTATTTCCACAACAGAAATAAGAAATTATGACCACACAAAAACACTCAATGCTTGCAACAATTTTATTCATAATAGGCAAAGCCTGAAAACCATCCAAGAAACAATTTGTCAGACTTTATACAATGGAATACTACTCAGCAATAAAAATGAGTCAATTATCAATGAATGCAATAAAGGTAAAATGACAAAAGCAGTTACAGTAAGTGCAAAAGGTAAACATAAAAGACCAAATAATGTATCAGCTCATTCTTTTGTTTATTTTTTTTTTACAATCTCACTGGTCAGCCTTACAGACCAAGTAATGGTAACACACATCTTTATTTATTTATTTATTTATTTATTTATTATGTATACAATATTCTGTCTGCGTGTATGTCTGAAGGCCAGAAGAGGGCACCAGACCTCATTACAGATGGTTGTGAGCCACCATGTGGTTGCTGGGAATTGAACTCAGGACCTTTGGAAGAGCAGGCAATGCTCTTAACCGCTGAGCCATCTCTCCAGCCCGTATCAGCTCATTCTTAAGAAATTATAGAAAACTACTGTTTGAGAAAACTACAGATAGGCACAAAGTAACTTTTCAATATGATGGAAATATTTTATTTTAGCAGTGGAGGTAGTAACATGATTATATACATTTGCCAAAACTCAAAGTGTTTACTTAAAGTTGAATTTTACTTATGTAAAATATGCATTAAGCATTACCAAAAATGATGATTTATATTTTATAATGACAATAATCAAGCATTTTTAAGTTTTGAAGATTTTATTATTGTGTGTATGTATCAATATGTGATAGCAGAGGCCAGAAAATGGCATGGAATCCCCTGGAGCTGGAGTTATAAGTGGCTGTAAGCTACTAGATGTGGGTGCTAGGAAGGGAACGCAGGTCCTCTGTAGTGTCCTTAACTGCTGAACCATCTCTCTAGTCCCCTTCCTGAGTTTTAAATCTAAACATTTCCTATGTAATACCAAAATTAACACTAAGACTTAGTGAGTTACCATAGTAGGCAGACATGAAACTGTTCGTCACTTACAATCTAATGAGACCTAAGAGTTGCTATCCAAGTCTGTTACAAAAAGAAGCAAATTACAAAGTACTATTTTTAGAAGCCATTACTTTACATATACATTAATGAATTCTCAGTGCAATACAGCAATTGCATTTTTAATATTAAGGTTTTTCTTCTTCAAATGATGACTTTTTAAAAATATACATGGTAAGAAAATTATAGTTTTCAGCACTGGAAGCTATAGAAAAATTTTCACAATACTAAAGAAGTAAGACAAGAGCCACGAAAGCTGTGAGCTGCTTTCGGATGCTTTGACAATACTATTGCACTGCTAGCTGTAAAGTACAGTAGTGCAATAAAGTCAGAGCATTCGCCAGCAGTAGTGAGCAGGAAAGGACTGTAAGCTCCAGTGTGCAAAGACCTTAAAGCTGAGTTGACAGTTTTGGTCAGAAGACATTCAAAACCTAAAAACATTTATACCAAGGTTTATTTTTTGAAGAGCAAAAGACTTAAAACCCAAGTAATAATTGGTTTCTGATAACTAACCTGATAAGTAGCAGCAATCAAACATAAACACACACAGATGTAAAGTAATTTTACAAGATGTCCTGAGCCTTTAGTAATTAACATGGGCATCAGTAATACTTTAGGACTAATACCAACAAAATAAGCTATAATTACTATTGAGGCAAATGTATGAAAAAAATATTTCTGTTCTCTGCTGAAAAGTAATATTGCCTTACTCCTCTTCCAAAGCAATTGGTTACCTACCATTGAAAGCAAGTCATTTGAGTAATTCAAAGAAAACAAATGCAAAGGACTGGAGAAAACAAATGCAAATGATTCGGTGGTTAAGAGCACTTGTTCTTGCAGAGGAACTGGGTTCGATTCCTAGCACCCACTTGGGGCTCAAAATCATCTGCAACAATTGCAAGAGATCCAATGCCCTTTTCTGACCTCCTTGGGCACCAGACACACATGTGGTGCACAGACATACATACATGCAAGCAAAACACTCATATTCATAAAAAAAATCTTAAAAAATAAGAAAATAAATGACTATATACCTAATTTACCTCTATGGAATCTAATACACGTGCACACACACAACACAAATCTTGTGCCTCTTTAACTCGAGAGTTTTTGAGAGATAATACAAAAAGAGGAGAGATTATCAGGGAACTGATATATTCTTAACTGGACATTAACCCAACCTAACCTAATACTAGGTAAAAGGATTTTTTAATATTTTCATTTAACTCTTAAAATATCCTATGTAGTGAAGAAAAGCATATCCATTCCCTTCAAACTTTGAAATAAAGAAAACAGTGAGAGGGATAAAAGTTTCCCTCTCAAATGTAAACCAAGAAACAGAACGCAAGTGTCATATTACACTACCTTTTGTGAACAATCCCTACAAGTATCACAAAAGGAGGGCAGGAGTACCACTCAATCAGCAGGCAAAGGGAAAATGTCAAGGAACAAAGATTATCCTACAATGAGTTTATTCCACCATTAGTAATGTTGATTGATGCAAAAATACATTCCCATTATTTTCATTGACCTTTCTTTAAAAGAGCCAGTTCAGTTTCTTAGACAGATTAAATCTACTAAAAAATGGACTCAAAAGAGCTGGAACGTATCCTCGGATCCTGGGCCACAAAACTCAAATTTGGGAATATTTAACTCTGCTAACCAAGCACTGGGTTTTTTTTTTCCTTTCCCCTACAGGATATTTTCTTGACAAGCACTAGGTTTTAAAGACAAGTGTTTAAAAGATAAACTTAATTTTCTAAATTAGATATTAACACAAGAAAAATATGGGGAAAACTCACTTTTTTTTTTTTTAACAGAGATAGAGTATCACCTTTACAACATCGTGCACTCCTATCACACACCCAAGGGCTCCTTAGCAAATCTTTTAAAAATGTTAAGACTTTTACATCACTTATCTTCAGCTTGGGAACGATAGCTTCAACAGATACTTTTTTTTTCCTTTTAGGAATTTGGTTCATTTGAAGATGAGATGTCTTTTGCTGTTTGGTCAATAAAAAGCTAAAGTTAATATTGAAAATCATGATTTAAAAAATTGAACGTTTTTAAGCCCTTAATTAAGAAAAATAATGAGTAACTTGGAAAATTAAAATGTTACCATGAATATATTTCAGGAAATGTCACAAAAGGAAAAGTTCTGTTTCTTTCATCCTCTTCATAAAGAAGTTTAAAGCTACTCCATAATTGATACAATATCTAAAAATGCTAAAATTCAGCAATCTCATAACTTCCTAAAGCTTACTTTTTGCAGCACGTTTACTTGTGTTTTCCTGAAGATAACCTGCTCAGTATTGTTTAAAAGTCTGAGTATTGATTGTACTGGAAAGGCTAAATAAAGCTCCACCAACTAAAGAAAATAACCTGTTTAAAAAAACAGAATTAGCCTCTAACAAAGCAAAACTATTTCCACCTACTTCAAAGGAAGGAATTCATAATGTGGGAGAGCACATGCCTATTAACGTCCTGTGTGTGTGTTTAATATGTTAATAGCGCGCACACACACAAAACCCTTGAAGTCTTCATTTATGAAGACTTGGAAAGCTGCAAAAATTTCTTCTCCCCGTTCTCCCTTCCCCACACTCCCTCCACAAAGAAAGTTTAAAATACAATATTAAAAGCAACAAAAGCCCTCTAATAAAACGTATGTGAAACACCTGAATTCATTAATGAAAGAGAAAGAAACTGAGGCGTCACACTTTCTGGAGTGGGAAGGGGGGGGAGGGATGCTTTAGGGATGATCTTTCAGGATCACCCTAAAGTCCTTTCCAAGGCTTAAGTAATAGACTCAAGATATTCCTCAGAGAGAGTGTCACGGACACAACGAATACCTATGCAGAGGGAATGACAGATTAAGGACGAAGAAATAAGCGTTTTACTTTTTTAATATTAATGTTGTTATTTAAAGGGAGAAACCTCAATGATTCCTTTACATTCTGTATTTTTGAGGGAGCTATTCCAATCTGTGTGTGTGTGGGGGGGGGGGGGTGACCAGGCAAAAGAAGACTGAAGACAGAACAAGGGAACTAAGAAAAAAGGCGCGGCGACCAAGCGGCCAGTGCAAAGACGGTAGGGCGAGAATAAAGAGAACGAGTACTAGGGAAACCCTCCCAAAGACAACTAGAAGGCCCCAGGGGCTGGGCGCCCAGTGCACGCCGGACACGCCAGCGGTTACCGAGGTCCTTCGTCCAGGGCGCTACTGGCACAGGGGAGAGAGAGGGGGCAGCTGAAAGCGCGGCCTGGCCTGGCGCGATGCCGCACGCGCTCCTGGAAGGAGCTCCAGGCTCCTCTCCCACGCCACCTCCGAGGCGCTCCGAACCGTTTCGACGGGACGGCGGCGAAGTTTCTCGAGTCTAGCGTCCTCTTTCCGAGCGTCCCAGCTCGCCTGCGACGAGGTGCGGCATGGAGCCCGAATTTCGGCGCCCCTGGACTCATGCCCCACCTCATCCTCCTTCCCCCTGCTCGGGAAACGTGAACGACCTCTCTCCTCCGCCCGGCTCCTAAAGACCGTTCCAGTCACACTGGGGCACAGAGGTGGAAGCACTAGACAGGGTCTGTACCGGGCGCGGCCCCGGGAGCCGGTGGAGGTGAAGGCGAGGAGCGGGGATTTACAAAGGCCCACACCCTCAACATCTCCCGCCATTTCCCTCCTGAGTTCCCCGGATGTAACCCCTTCCCCCGCGGCGGTTAAGAGACCAAGGCGGCCGTGGCTCCCTTCGATGCAGGAGGAGGGAAGTCGATCCAGATTCCAGCCTCCACCACCTAGGGTTTCCGGCGCCTCCAAATGGCGCCTCGCCTTCTAGGCCTTCGGTGGCGAAAATCAATTACCCAATCGGTTTCCTTCGCTCTCCACTCACCATCAGTTCCAGCTTATCGACCTCCGCCTCCATGTTGAATAGTTGACATTCCTGAGACCGCGGAGGCGCTTAAGCGGCGAGTCGTGCTAGCACGGAGGGTCTCTATTGGACAGCTGTCACTCAACGTCTCGCGCTCATTGGCTGGTCCGTTCCGCCGGCCCCCGCCCATTGGCGATTGGGTAACGCCCCTCCTTATGAAACACACTTTCCTGTTGGGCAAAGACACAAAACGCCGTAGGAGGATTGGCTGCTGAATATGTGATTATTCCCATTGGCTGCCTTCGGTTCTCCACTTTCAATTTCATACTTGGGAAAGAGTTTACGATTGGTGTACTCGGAAACAGCAGCAGCCAATGCCATAAGAGCTTCCACTGCCGGCCTAGGCGATGTGACACACCTTCTTTTCTCTTCGACTTCCCCGCCCCTTCTCGCCCGCCTTCCCTTATTCATACAAGAAGCGCCTCAATTCCAATTGGCCAGGATGTGATGTGCCCTCAGCCAATCGTAATCCAGGCTGTATTTGGGTCCTTTCAGGACAACGAACCGTGTAGAGAACACTTCTACGATTGGTCACTCCTCGGCAAGGATTTAATTTTGAATTTTTCTTTATGGTGTGGAAGAGGCTCCGACCCGAACTTCGTCTAGTCCTCAGACTTTTAGACTAGTAAGTGCAGGGACGATTTTTTCTTTGTTACCTGGTCCCATCTACCGTTACTCGAACTGTTGATGGTTGGGTTCTTACGGCTGAAGGAGGTGGGTCTTGAGCTGGACTTGGAGGGAGAGGGAGTAGAAATGGGAAGGTTTGGGGCAGGACAAGAGCTCCGCTGGCAACATCCGAGCCACATTTTTATTAAACACTCTTGCAATATATGTTTTGAAGCTATTGCCTTTTGCTCAGTCTTTTTCGTTGCTCTGTCTCAAAGTAGGTCCACAGACTAGCGGCTTTAGCTTCTTCGGTCGCTAGTGACAAATGCAAATTATAGGGGTGCATCCAATTTTACTGGATAAGAATATGTATTTAACCAGATGCTCCCGCCCGCGATTCTTCAGCACGTTTACGTTTGTGGAGGAATGTTTTTTGACGGGTAGTTTTACGTTGTTCCTTGATACAGAGTTACTTCCAACATCGATATAAAAGTGCACCCTTTTACTACATGCTAATATTGTGCTGGGTGACACTAAAGACCTGTGGTCACTCTGAGAGAGACACAGAAAAGAACCGGGGGGAAAAAAGCAATACTTCACAATAAAACAACATTAACTAACTGTAGGAAAATGGCAGTAATCATGTCACAGTAATCAGGGTGAAATTAAATTGACAGAAGGCAATTTCTGTGGGCGTGAAAATGTATTTTAGAACGTTGGTGATGAAATGGCAACTGTCATTTCCGCTGCTGCCACGGCTTTAGAAGCCGAAGAACTTTTCATGTACCTGATGGAGTTTTAGCAGAAGCAGCAGTGTCAGCTTATGAGAAGACTAATTATTATTCTGAGATGAGCTTGTGTAACCCAGGTTGGCAAGGAATTGGCTAAGCAAAGGATGACCCTGAACTCTGAATCCCCCTGCTTCCACCTCTGGGGTTCTGGGATTACAGGCCTGTGTGCCAACGGGACAATTGACGTGGCACTGGAGATTAAACTCAGCGTCTTGTATGTGAAGTTAGCACTCTTCCAACTGAGCTAGATCAGCCAATGAGCCAATGATCATTCTGCTATTTGTTGAATCTTCATACTTGGAAGTTTTTGATCCACCCTCTAACTGTAAAGATATGATCTGGTTTGAATAACTAACCCCTCCCCCCAACACACACACACACACCCTAAAAGTATTAGACTTGGAGGATATTGCTTAAGTGAAAAGAGAATCGTTGCTGACTGATACTGGAAAGTGATGGTATCTTTCATTCCTTTATTGGATAAAACATGTAATGGGGTCAGGCGGTGATGGGTCACGCCTTTAATCCCAGCACTTGGGAGGCGAGGCAGGTGGTTCTCAGTGAGTTCAAGGCCAGCCTGGTCTACAAAACAAGTTCCAGGACAGCGAGGACTGTTATATAGAGAAACCTTGTCTTGAAAAAATGAAAAAAAAAATTGTTTGTTGCTTTGTTGAAAGGCTGAGGAAATAGATGAATAAAATATAGGAAGGTAAGAAATCACACAACTGTAACTCTAACACTTAGAAGATGAAGGCAGAAAGAGCGGGCATTCAAGGGCATCCTGGGCTACATCTAGTTTAAGGCCAGTCATGATTTTGTATGCCTTGTGTGCCTATAATCCTATCATTTAGGAGCTGAGGCAAGAGGATCTTGCGTTCCAGACCATCCTGTGCTACATAACAAAGACCCTGTCTCAAAAAAATTTGAATCTTATAAATTTGATTGACAGTTAACCAATAAGATGCTTTCACTTCACTGTTACCTTTTGACCTGAGGGTTAGCTGTCAGGACTATACTGCTGATACCAAGGCTCTTCCCACTTTTTCTAATCTGTAAAGGAAGTGGAGAGGTGTCCTGATAATCTGAAGGCTGAGGAAGTGTATGCAAATACCTATTTCCGAAAAATGATCAAGTGAACAGAAGTGGAATGACTTAACTTATCAGACAAAGTCCCACTAGATGGCTGTGACCTGCTTGGAAGAAGCTATTAGCCCAGCTTGGCTTTGAACTCACATAGATCCATCTACCTCTGCTTCACAAGTGTTGGTTTTAAGGTTGTGCACCACCACTCAGGGCCTTAAATGTGTGTTTCACTGACTTTTCCTATTCATATCTAAATCTGAAGCAGACCATTTTCATGTCTGCTACTAGAGTAGTAACACCTTTGTTCCTCAGGGATCAACAGCTAAAACTAGCAAAGCCCGTTTGGAGCTTCAGATCAAAGGAACCCAGAATTACTATTATTATCTATTATTATTATTATTATTATTATTTTCGAGACAGGATTTCTCTGTAGCTTTGGAACCTGTCCTGGAACTAGCCCTTGTAGACCAGGCTGACCTCCAACTCACAGAGATCCACCTGCCTCTGCCTCCCGAGTGCTGGGATTAAAGGCGTGCTCCACCAATGCCTGACCAGAATTTTTTATATATCCAGAAAAGGGTATATGTTAAAACATAAATATGTTAAGTAATATCTTTAGTGCTTCAAAATAACTGTCTTAAAGCAGGTCTTTGATTTTGGATAAGTGTATATAGCCTGTTTAAGCGACTATTGCCCCATAGTCTATTAAGAAAATTCATGGTCTCTGAAGACTTACAGGTCTGTGCTTTTATACTTTATTGTATTACATTAGGCAGATATCTAATCTAACCCTCAGCTTATTTTTGCATAAAACTAGGACTAAAATCCTCCTTGTCAGTTGAGGAGATTGAAGATTGACAGAGGAAAAGGGGAATGTACCCCACATTTATGGGGGCATTTTATAAATGATCCCTCCCACTGTGACATCTGCCTATCATAGTAGATGTTCATTCTATCTTGCTGAATCTCAAGTCTATCTTTTTAATATCAATCCATAATCCACTACAGCCATTTTCCTACTATAAGGAAAGGAATAGCTAAGTACTGTAGCCAGTTTTCCTAGCATACAGGAAGCCTCTGCTTGGATCTCCAGCACTAAATAACCCCAATGTGACATTGCCAGTCTCGAGGTAATGTCAGCAGTCTAGGCAGAGGCAGGAGTCATTCTTAGCTGTATGAGGGTTCAAAGGTCAGCCCGGGATGCATAGGATCTTGTTTCAAAATGACTTTTTAAAAAGAGGGGGCATAGCTCAATAGTGGAGCACTTGCCTAGACAAGGGCAAAGCCCTGGGTTTGGTCTCCAGCTGGGGAGAAGGAGGTTGCAGAGAATAAAGAAGAATTCGTTTGATTTCATCAATGAATACAACAAAAGCTGATTGAGAGACTAATGTAAATTCCAAGGAAGACTCTCCAGAGACACTTTAAATCTGAGTTAACATTTTCTTCCCAGAATACTGATAACCTTTTTTCTCTCTGGTTTTTGTTTTGTTTTGTTGTTTTGAGACAGAGTCTCACCCAGGCTGGCCTTGAACTTACTCAGTAGCTGAAGCTATCCTTGAATCCTAATATACCTGCCTTCACTTTCCAAGTAGTGAGATTACGGGTATGTACACTCTACTCAGCTTTTTAGATGTTTTGGAGACAGAATCACTTTGAGGTGTTCTCCAATTCACAGTCATCTTTCTGCCTCAAATACCATCCCCCAGCACTGGGTTTAGAGGTTTGAACCAGCATGCCCACAACTACAATTTATTTCTTACTCAAGGTTGGAGAAGAAGGAAAAAAATTGGAATAAACCAAAAATAACCAAGATGATGTATATGAGGGTATATAACAGTCCTATATCATAATTCATAGAACTATGCCCTGAAGGCTTATACATTTTCTATATGTATACATTATTCTTTAATAAAAATATATATTTCAGGTACTAGAGAAATGGCTCAAGGTTAAGAGCCCTAGCTGCTCTTCTTAAGGACCTAGGTTCAATTCCCAGCACCCACATGGCAGTTCACTGCCATCTGTAACACCAGTTCCCAGGAGATATGATGCCCTCTTCTGGCCCCTGAAAGTAGCAGGCATGCAAATGGTATAAAGACAGACACACACACAGGCAGGCAAAACATTCATACATAACTTTTTTTAATTTCAAATTTTTCTCTACAGAAATCATGCCCAAGTTCAAACAACGAAGAAGAAAGCTAAGAGCCAAAGCCAAAAGATTATTTAAGAAAAAAGAAGCCTCCCGAGTCCAGCCTAAGCTATTGACCCCTCCCCCTCCACCACCCACACCAGAAAGGTAAGGTATAATGGAGAACACAGGAAATAGTAAATCTCATCAGCATAGAGTTACCAGTTCAGCCAATGATAATATAGCACACCCAGTCAAATTTGAGTTGCATCCCTCAAATAAATCATTTTTAGGCATGTCCCATGTAAAATTTGAAATGTGTCTATACTACAATGATTGCTGGCCACAGTAGTTCATGCTAACTGTAACCCCAGCACTCAGGAGGCTGAGGCAGGAGAATTGCTGAGAGCTGAAGGCTATCTTGGGCTATACAGTGAGTTTCAGGCCATCCTGCACTATGG